CGAACAAGCGAACAGGATGCAAACTGCTGCCCCCTCCCCGCTCTGCCGGTGCCAGCCTAGTCGTACATGACCATCATCTTCTCTCTTCATGTCACGTGGGAGCGGGAGGTGGCGGGCGCCAACAGGCTAAGTTTATGGTTATGGACTATGGATGGCGAGCCCCATCGGTGTCCCTCCCAACGTAATAGACACAAATGAAGTGAAGTAATCGCTTAGGCAATCAAATCTTTGCTTCTTCCATGACGCCAGCACATGGCCTCGTGGAGGTGGAGCCGGCCGGCCGGCCGGGTTCCTTGGTCCTGGCCTCCTGGCAGAAGCAGCCTGCGGGCTCCGTGGGGCGCACGATGACCGGACCAGACGAGAGACGACGACGACGACCTAGCGCGGTGGCATTCCCGATGGGAAGAGCGATGATGGATTGGGTAGCCCAGCTCGCTTTTTAAGGTACCCTAGCTAGCTAATCATAGAAAATTGGGCGCAGCTGTGCTGTGTGCCTGTGTGCATGGCCCGGCGTGGAGGGGATAGCGTCCTGCTGACACGTCGCCTGTGTCTGTGCAACGATGGGGCAGCGGGCACGGGCACGGGCACGGGCGTCGCGTTGGCAAATTGGCAACGCCGGCGGGGCTGAAAAAGGGAGATTCTCCAGCGAGCCATCGCCGCGCGCCTTGGGCTTCACGCCGCACGCCCGGCGGAGCAGATCGTACGGCGAACCGGCAGCAGCGCACGAGTGCGTGCGGTGCGGTGCGGGGTAGGGGTACTCCCGCCCGCCGAGGCACGCGCCTGCCACCACACCACATGAGACGGCGGCGTCGCATTGCGCTTCGCACTCGTCGAGTCGACCTGCAGCAGCTTGTTCGTTCGGTTGGCTGGTTCGTATCGTTGCTGATTCGTTTATGTGAGAGAGTGGTACTACTAGCTGGTTTGCTGCTACAGTAGCCATAGAAGAGGGCTGGCCAGCCAGCCCAGCCAGCCCCAGCCCAGCGAACGAGCGGCTGGTGGTGCTGGATGGCTGTGGCTGCTGGTTCTTCGTCTTCGTTGGCAGACAACGCCGCCCGTCGTGCTGACTGTACTCCCACCAGCAGCAGGACCACCACCGAATCCACTCTCTGCCACCTGCCCCGGTCGACAAGACCCTTCGCGTAGGCTGGCCTGTCGCGCGTGCCGACAAACCACGCCCGCCTGCATGCCCGGCCGAGGTCGTCAGTGTCACCACTCACCACTGAAACTCAGCATGTTCGTTTTGCTGGGCTCGTTCATTGCTAGATCGTGACGAAGTACTGCTGGCTGATTTGGTGCAAGAGAAAAATATTGTACCGGCTGAAAATTTATGATCATTTACGACCAAGCGAACAGGCCGACTAACGACCCTGGCCACTGCGAGAGTACTCCTACAGTAGTAGTACACGCCAAGCCAAACGTGACCCTGGCCGTGGCCGGGTCGGCTCCCTCGCCTCGCCTTGCTTTGCTGGATGTGTTTGGCCGGCTGGCCGGGCGATACAATTATCGGAAATCCAACAAGTGATCCACGGCGGGCCGATCCATCCGGTGCGTGGGTTGCACAGTAGATTTTAGATTATTTCGGATAATTCAATAGTGTTCTGTAAGAGAGAATAAGCTGAACTAAGCTGGAACTTAAGCAGCCGAACACGCCGAGACATTAAAAGGCGCACAGTGGCTGCCGTCCACGTCCTGCAACTGCAACACCAACGCGAAAAAGGCAGAGCAGAGCAGAGCACCGCAACAGTGCTGCCCCGGCGGCCTCCACAGCTCCAATCGGGCGCGTGCGTGCGTGCGGGTCCCTTGTTCCTTTCTTTCTCTTCTCCGTGGCCACTTTTGCCGCGGCACGGCAGCGATCCCCAGTCCGTGCCATTGTTGCTTAATTACGGGCTGGTCTCCGCATGTGGTGCTGCTTAGCTATCTCATTCTCCTGCATGCATGCTTCATTACGCCTTCTAATATTAAAAATCTAGGGGCTCTAAATTTAGTGATGCCCAATTGGCCATCATCAGTGAGTCAGCCAGTCGACGAGCCCGTGCCAGCCTTAAGCTGCCCAGTTGTCCATCCGTGGCTGGAACGAGGGTCCGTCGATTACGACAATCCACGCGACAGGATTCATTCCCACTCAGATCTCGCTCCGTCACCCTCGATCGATCTGGTTCAGGCTCTAGCTCGCATCTACTAGCGCTGTGCTATCCTCTAGCGACTAGCAGCACGTTGTTTCTCACCTAATCTAAACAAAGGCTGGATTGGACAACCAGATCGATCGGATCGTCTAGCTGAACTGACAGTACCGCGGCCGGTTCTAGTTCTAGGCTGAGCTTACTTTATTTATTAGTAGGAGAGAAGAAGAGACAGGACACGTTGTACAGTTGAATTGATCTCGATGACGATGCATGCACACTCATTGTATCTCCGGGCCGGGCCGTTTTTTTTATATAGATATGGAGTATTTTTATAAATATATCTGTGTGCACATCGATCGGGGGCCGGGTGGTGATACTGATCACGACAAGGGTCTATGCTAGTGTTTAGTATTTATATGTTCCCTCCACTCGACGACGAGGCGGTCGCAAAGTTTGGCGAGTTCAGTTGCGAGCCCGATAACGATGTTTGCAGCGGTTGCTATAATAACACTTACTACCCGAATACGACACTTGCATTGCATCAGCAGGACTGCTGTGTGTAGGAGGAGTAGCTGAGAAGATCGAAGTGGGTGTCAGCGGTAGCCGGCCCACCGTGGAATTCTACGTACTCCACCCCAAGTCTCCAACTCCAACAGAAAGAAAGGGAGCACGGTGAGCACAAGCACGCGGCACGTGCTGTCGAACGACTGGTCCGCGGATGCACGGGCGGGGCAGGGCAGGCAGCGAGTGGAGTGAGTGGTACGAGGCGGCGTACCGCTACCACAGGAATGGAATGGTTGGGATGCTTTGGTTGTTTACCGCCGCTGCCTGTCACGTCGCCGGCCGCGCAGAGTACGACCCCACCGACGACGGCCGTGGGGAGAGGATCAGAGGAGTCGCGAGAGAGCCGAGCCACGCAGAGAGCTTTCTCCCGTTCCCAGTTCCCACAACCAACGAGTGACACCGCATCGCAGCGCGGAAAGCCAGGCCGTGGTCCGTGGATATCAGCATCGTCATGACTCATGATATAAAAAAGAGCATCTCCAGTAGTTTAAAAATAAATAAATCAATAAATCTTCCAAGTAAACAAAGTTGGTACCATACAGTATTTGTTAGGCTTCTTTCACCATTTCCAAAATCTCGCTTCTAAGGCCTTGTTTAGATACCCTCAAAATTCCAAGTTTTTTCATTATCTCTCCATCACATCAATTTTTAGCCGGTTGCATGGAGCATTAAATGTAGGTAAAAAAAATAACTAATTGCACAGTTTAGTTGGAAATCACGAGATGAATCTTTTAAGATTAGTTGATCCACGATTGGACAATATTTACCAAATAAGACGAAAGTGCTACTATTTATCGGGTTGAAATTTTTTTCAATCTAAACAAGGCCTAATTATATAAAAAAAATTAGTCTCGCCACAAGGATGCGACGAGTCAATCTTTTTCATGCCTAAAAATACTAAGATGGAGAGTGAGTTCTGTAAACTACTCCTTCCATTTCATATTTCAACGTGTAAGTTATTCGGTCTCTTTTAGGTACATAGCTTTTCTTATGCATCTAAATATATATTATGTCTAGGTACGTAGAAAAAACCATGTATCTAGAAAAAGTTAAAACAACTTATAATTTTAAATAGCGGAAACATTAAAGATGCTCTAAGGGACTGACCAAAACAAAATACTGTCTTCCACAAAAAATTATAAAATCTTGACATTTAAGAAGTACATTAATCAAGATTCACAAGGTTTATAAAACAAATCATATCAAGATATGTATCTTCAAATAAATTTATTGTAAAATTACATTTCAAGATTAGTCTATATCATAAATATTGGGCTTTTCTACTCCTCTCATCCCAAGTGAATCAACTTATAGAGCTTTCCTTGTTTTTATTGAAAAGCTTGATCACATTAGGAAAATAATATTTGTGATAGCAAATCAGTAAGTTAGATACTCCATTCGTTCCAAAATATAAGTCGCTATGGCTTTTCTACTCTAGTAGTCTAGGTACATAACTTGTACCATGTATATAGACACAGCGTAGTACTCCCTCTATTTCAAATTATTATACATTTTGGCATTTCTAATCTAAGACATAACTTATATCTAGATACGTAGAAAAAAACGTGAATCTAAAAAAGCCAAAGCGTCTTATAATTTGGAACAGAGGAAGTATATAGATGCATAATAAAAACTATTTATCTTGACAAGACAAAATGACTTATAATTCGACATATAGTACAACATTAGATATAATTACATATTATGTTTCTCTGCCATATATATGAATACTCTTTTATAGAAACCGATGAACTTTAAAAAGGTAACTTAGGATAAATTTAGAGGTTAATTTATTTAGAGATAGAGCAAATTTAAATTTAATTAAAAAAAAGAGATTTACGTCCTTCTGGGACTGAAGCAGTACCCAGTAATAACAGGAAAAATAAAAAATTATAAAATAAACACAGAAAAAAAAGGTAAAAAGCTCCATTCCCCTCCCTCCACAGCTCCTCCCTCTCTCTCTCCTCTCCCTCTCCCCTGACTCCTCCGCGTCGCCATCTCTCTCCCCTCCCCTGCCCCTCCCACCTCCCCGCACTTCCAAACCCCTCGCCCCCGCCGCCTCCTCTTGCCTCCGCCGTCGCCGCGCTCCGATCCGGTCTCCCGCGGCCCCGCGGCGCGCTCCGAGCTCGTCGCCCCGCGCGCACGCGAGCTGCCCTGCCCACCTGGACCCGCGCCGGCGAGCGAGCCCCCCATTGCGCCGCGCCGCCTCCCACGCACGCGGCAGCAGGGCGTGGGGAGCGAGGCCGGAGGTCCGCGCGCGCCTGGCCGTCATGGGGCGTTGCCGGCGCCGGGGCTGATGCGGAGGCCGCTGCCATGTCGGACGTCTCGTCGGATCTCGGCGGCATCCGGGCGGGGCCCGTGGAGCGTGACATCGAGCAGGTGCGTGCTGCTAACCCTTCTCTGGGTGGATCTATTTCCCCTCCCCCCGTCCCTGGTTCTACTGCGGGTGCAACTGAGATGTGGATGGGTAGATCATCATCTATCGCCTACCGCTTACGTGCTCTCCTGCTGCGTGTCGCGGATAGATTTCCCCTCCCCCCGTCCCTGGTTTTACTGCGCGTCCCAGGTTCTACTGCGGGTGCAATTGTGGTATGGATGGACAGATCATCGTCTATCGCCTACGTGCTCTCCGCCCACGTGGCGCGGAACTTCAGGCCAGCTCGCGCTCTTTGTGCGCAGACGTGAAATGGTGCCTGATTCCGGCGGAATTCATGGGCGTTGTTGCTGTAGTTTGCTGTTTTCTTCTTCTTCTGTGCTACAATGAAGCTCAGATTGGATATTCCAGGTAGCTGTTCCCCTCCCTCTGCTGAAATTCCGGTAGCTAGGAAGGTGGTTGACTTATTGGGCGTCCAACCACTGATTCAAGTGTTTGGAGGTCAAGCTAGGACTATTATGCTTCTCATTCCCTGTTTTCTGGAGCTGAGGGGATCAGTCATAAGTGGATGCTTTGGTGAACATAAGATTCATTCTGGGAGCAAGGACCATTAGTTGATAGTTTAGTTCTTTCACTTGCATGCTCGTGCCTTTTCCTCTCGCTGTGTTGGCCTTGGTGCTGTGCTTGCCCATTCTGTTGTAGCTGCTACATGGCACTGAAGTCGAGCGGGATTTGACGGATGTCGCATTGGGTTTCGTGGATTTGTGAAGAATTGTTTGGGGATGGTTGCTGTGGCTTTGTGGTTTTGTGGATTCCAACTCCTGTGAGTTTTGAGAGGCATGTCCGACCATACACACAAATGGACAGTTTAAGCTGATTCTACTACTGTAGTCCTATACTCCTATTTTTGGCACCAAGGAGGGTGTTGCAGTGTGGGGGGCTTTGGAATCAAGCGATGAATGATTTGTTTTTTTCTGTATGTACAATATATGTCCAACATTCTGTTTGTGGCAAACTTATTAGACAGAGAGTGAAGATAAGGCTGGATTAGGATACTTGAATACAACCAGCATGCTTCAACTGATTATTCTGACAAGCGATAAAATGACATTTTCATTTGTTCGTACTCAATAATGCATTTCACTTTTTTTGCTATTAAGGGACCGCATTTGTCATACCAGATAATGTGCAACATAAGAGCTGCTGGGGGCACTGATCAAAACCCTGTTTCAGTTTTATAGTGAGATGCTTCATAAGCTTCCTTCCAAGTGCATCTGACAAGATGCTAATAATACAAAGTAGTAAAACAAAGGCAATACAGGAAAAGGTCATGCATTAACTGAAAATATCACAATCATTGATATATTCTTATCAAATCAGCAAGCTTATTAGTGGCTGTAGTTGCACTCACCACTAGAACTAGACTAGTGTGATAGGGGTTATTTTGGTTTTATTCTTTGTTGTGAATAAAGGAAATCATAAAAGAAGGGCACACATATCAGTCTGATGCTTAGTGAAAAAGGTCAATATGCAGAATGAGCTGTATGGCATCAGTAACAAAGCAAAAGTAGTAAAAAAGCAAAGGAAAAGTAGTAAAAAAAATGTTTCATATTGTATATTGAACCATTAGCATCTTATGGCACTTGCCTTTGTACGTGTCTAGTGTTATGTTCCATTATTATTATTATTTCATTAATACTATAAAACCAGTGATTTACCTCAGGTCTGTTTTATATCTTCAAAATGTGAAGTATGGAAGTTGCATGCTCCTGGTTGCTTGTTTTTTTTCCCATATATTGATGACTTGGTAAGTTGATATTTAAGGCTTGACAGCATCCTTCTTTGCAGGCCATCACTGCTCTCAAGAAAGGAGCATACTTGCTGAAGTATGGGCGTAGAGGAAAGCCCAAGTTTTGTCCATTCAGGTTATCCAATGTGAGCCTTATTTGGACTCTCCAACTTAACAGTGTTTCTGTGCCTTCACAATCCTTTGGCTTATATGGTGTATTTTATACTTTTTTGACTCCTTCAGGATGAATCTGTACTGATATGGTTCTCAGGGAAAGAAGAGAAACATCTAAGGTTGAGCCATGTATCCAGGATAATTCCTGGGCAACGGACTGTAAGTTAATGTTCTTAGGAGGCCTAGACTCATTTTCAAGAAGAATATCCTGTCTAGCAATTTCTCTCTAATAATAAGTTGCTTTGGTCAACAAGCTTCATATTAAAAATGTCTTTATTTTCTGGTGATGTTTGCTTGCCAACCCATATGGATGGACTTAATAGCATTTCCAAAGTGCTTATTTTTCACGTTAGCATGGATAAATAATTTTGTGAAATTGAAAATAACTAGAACAACTCTTCTATATGTATATATGTCTTGCTACTTTTGATGCCTATACTAAGGAGTTTAGAATTCGTGTCAGGATACAATTGAATTCCATTGTTAATGAACAAAAACCATATGTTTTCTTTAGAAGTATTTCCATTTTCCATTTGTGGTGAACTTGGTTGTCTGACTTTACTAACTAGACCCTTTTTTTGGATAATTCAGGCAATTTTTCAGAGGTATCCACGGCCTGAGAAGGAATGCCAGTCTTTTTCTCTAATTTCACATGATAGGTCATTGGATATAGTAAGTTGTCCCTGGTTCATATTTTATATGTTTTGTCTTTGTTGCCTCTGTTGCTACAACACACCCCTCCCCTCTTACTCTTAGTTTTGTATTCACATGGTGACATGATTTGTTTTGTTCATTAATATCAGATATGCAAAGATAAAGATGAAGCTGAAGTATGGTTTGCTGGGCTGAAAACACTGATTTCACGTTGCCACCAAAGAAAATGGAGAACTGAATCTAGAAGTGATATCCTTTCCTCTGGTGCAACTAGTCCGAGGACTTACACACGACGGAGTTCTCCTTTGAGTTCACCTTTCAGCAGCAATGACAGCATCCACAAGGTATTACTGTCTCCATTGTATTAAAATCCTACCTAGATGGCTAGAAGACTAGAATAAAACATTCAATTTTCAACCCTTAATTGTGCGGGGAAGGCTCTTCATAGTTAGAAGCCATCCTGTTTTCATGTTGCGGGTTTAATCATCAATTTCTCCACTCAAATCATTGTGGAAGCACTTGTTTTCACTGATGTGTTCAATTAGAGCAGGAAGCCTTGCCAGAAATTTGATGACACTAGAGTGCAAAAGGCTAGAAAGGAAAGATCTTTTTGTGTCAAATTGCTAGTGTTCTTAATTACTTTTAATGATTTCTCCTTCCCTTCACATTACATTATATGTCCTCTTTTGTGATAATTGCCATTTATTTTTTAAAATGATGTGTTATATCAGGATGGCAGTGACAATTACCGACTCCGTACTCCATATGGGAGCCCACCAAAGAATCGATTGGAGAAGGCATTTTCTGATGTCATGTTGTATGCAGTTCCTCCCAGGGGTTTCTTTCCATCAGATTCTAATGCTGAATCAGTCCATTCTATGTCTTCTGGACACTCGGATAACACAAATGGGCACCCCAGAGGCGTCCCAATGGATGCTTTCCGAGTCAGTTATTCAAGTGCCGTTAGTTCATCTAGTCATGGTTCTGGTCATGATGATGGTGATGCTTTAGGCGATGTTTTCATATGGGGAGAAGGAACCGGGGAAGGAATTCTTGGCGGTGGTGGTTCAAGAGTTGGAAGCTCCTCAGGTGCAAAAATGGACTGCCTTGTACCAAAACCATTAGAATTTGCCGTGCGACTTGATGTGCAGAACATATCTTGTGGAGGAAGGCATGCTGCACTTGTTACTAAACAAGGTGAGATATACTCATGGGGTGAGGAATCAGGGGGACGGCTTGGTCATGGTGTTGATTGTGATGTGTCAGAGCCAAAACTTATTGATGCTCTTTCTCATATGAACATTGAGCTTGTAGCATGTGGCGAATACCACACTTGTGCTGTTACACTATCTGGAGATCTTTACACATGGGGGGGGATGGCACATTTAAATTTGGGCTTTTGGGTCATGGAAATGATGTCAGTCACTGGGTACCAAAGCACGTGAATGGACCATTAGAGGGTATACATGTTTCATCAATTTCATGTGGACCTTGGCATACAGCCCTAGTAACTTCCGCTGGACAGCTTTTCACATTTGGTGATGGATCATTTGGGGTTCTGGGCCATGGAGATCGTGAGAGTATCTCGGTCCCCAGGGAAGTTGAATCTCTCAAAGGGCTACGCACGGTGCGGGCAGCTTGTGGTGTTTGGCACACTGCTGCAGTTGTAGAAGTCATGGTTGGGAATTCAAGTTCTAGCAATTGTTCTTCTGGTAAGATATTTACATGGGGTGATGGTGATAAAGGTCGCTTAGGTCATGGTGACAAGGAACCAAAACTTGTCCCAACCTGTGTGTCTGCTTTGGTGGAGCCCAATTTTTGTCAGGTTGCTTGTGGGCATTGCTTGACAGTAGCCCTAACAACTTCTGGGCATGTGTATACAATGGGCAGTGCTGTCTATGGTCAACTTGGGAATGCACAAGCTGATGGTATGCTTCCTGTGCGTGTTGAAGGGAAGCTACACAAAAACTTTGTGGAGGAGATTTCATGTGGTGCTTATCATGTGGCTGTATTGACTTCTAGGACTGAGGTATACACATGGGGAAAAGGTGCAAATGGCCGGTTAGGTCATGGCGATACTGATGATAGGAATACTCCTACATTGGTTGAAGCACTGAAAGATAAGCAAGTCAGAAGTGTTGTTTGTGGAATTAATTTCACTGCAGCAATATGCATTCACAAATGGGTATCTGGAGTTGATCAATCAATGTGCTCAGGTTGCCGTCAGCCATTCAACTTGAGGAGAAAACGTCATAATTGCTACAACTGTGCTCTAGTATTTTGTCATTCCTGCAGCAGTAAAAAATCTCTGAAGGCTTCATTAGCACCTAATACAAACAAGCCTTACCGTGTCTGCGATACCTGCTACAGCAAACTGACAAAGGGACTTGAGACAGATATGCATTCTTCAGCGAAGCGGGCTGCTACTGTACCGGGATTCAGTGATACAATCGAGGAGGATCTGGAAACAAGGTCAAATGCTCAACTATCAAGGTTGTCGTCAATGGAATCTTTGAAGCATTTAGATAGCAGATATTCCAAGAAAAATAAGAAGTTTGAATTTAATAGCACCCGTGTTTCCCCTGTGCCTAATGGGAGTTCACATTGGAGTGGACTAAACATTTCAAGATCTTTCAATCCTGTATTTGGATCTTCAAAGAAGTTTTTCTCAGCATCAGTTCCTGGATCTAGAATTGTTTCTAGGGCAACATCACCTATTTCAAGAAGAGCAAGCCCTCCACGATCTACAACACCAACACCTACTCTGGGTGGCCTAACATCTCCAAGAGTTGTTCCCAACGATGGCAAGCCAACAAATGATGCATTAAGCCAAGAGGTTCTGAATTTGAGGTCTCAGGTACACATTTTGCTCCACATTTTTAATGCTATTTGATTGATATGGTGATATTTGTATTTTGCTTTCAGTAGTTGACAATTTAAATCTAGTGGAGTTTTAGTTGACACCGGGCTCGATAGAGAGCAGTGCTTTTGTGTTGTTATACTGAACTTTTGATTCTAAATTCTAAAAGATAGGTTACACATTTTTTACGCCCTGCAACCTTGCACTGTAGACATATATACCCTTTTGTTCTGTAAGAGTAACAGAGTATGGAGAATGGAAGTTTATTAAATTTTAGCAGATTGTTACCTGCCTACTTGATACTAATATGGCAGACATATTGTCCTTGGAGTTTCAAGATTTGAACCTCCCTTTTCCTTAAAGCCAAGTATCATCAGAACGAGCGGACTTGCTGCTCATGTAGTTAGCTCTTGACTTACAGGTGGAGAGTCTTACCAGGAAGTCTCAACTCCTAGAAGTGGAGCTGGAAAGAACTACCAAACAATTGAAGGAAGCTATTTCCATTGCCGGTGAGGAAACTGCAAAGTGCAAGGCAGCAAAGGAAGTAATCAAGTCACTCACTGCACAGGTAAAGTCTGCTTACTGTATGGGCTTGCAATTTTGTCTCTTTTTTTATGCCCACATGTAATTTACCGTTCAGCCAGGATGTATATCCCATATTAAATAGCTCCATGTTAGTATGTTACAACCAGGATACGAAACTTGAATAAAGCAGTTTGTTTTAATGGAAAATTGAAGGCTTGAACAATTTCGAAATCAATTATTGGCTATAAGATTCCACATTTAAATGTGGCCCTGTATGTCCATGGCTAATGGCTAATAATAAAGGGGGAAAAGAGCTTTGTAACTCGTGCCACTTATGACAGCTATCATCTGATGGCCAACTCCATTCTTTATGTAACAGTTGAAGGGGATGGCAGAGAGATTACCTGGAGGAGCAGCCAAGAACACTAAGTTGCCACCTCTTCCTGGAATTTCCATTCCAAGTGACATTTCGTCCATGGCTACGGAGAGTGTGGGCAGCCCAAGCAGCTCTGGAGAACAAATCATAAATGGTCATAATGGATTGCTTGCTTCTAATGGACCAAGTTCTGTTAGGAATAAGACGAGCCATCAAGAAGTAGGCAAGAATGGAAGTAGGCCGCCTGATGCTGAATCTTGCCATGATGCTGAATGGGTAGAGCAAGATGAACCAGGTGTTTACATTACTCTCACCGCGTTGCCTGGAGGCGCCAGAGATCTCAAGCGGGTTCGGTTCAGGTAGATGCATTTGAATCCTGCTCAGCAGGCAACTTCTATTGCTAGTGTCCAACTTAAATTACATCGTGTTCCTGTTGAATTCTCATGTGGTTCAGCTCGTGACTTGTCATTTCTTCTTTTTTTCTTAAAATATAGCCGGAAGAGGTTCAGTGAGACACAAGCAGAACAGTGGTGGCAGGAGAACCGGGCGAGGGTATACCAGCAGTACAATGTCCGCGTGGTTGACAAATCAACCGCCAGTGTCGACAATGACATTGCGGCTAACTGACACTAGATTGACCTGGAGAAACATACTTGATTACAAGCGGAGCTGAGGCCATGTACCCTACCTACGTGAAGGCTCTCTCGTCAGTCAAGCTGGGTTGCTAACGTGGCTACCATTTTACCTAGCCCCTTGAGAAGAGGTGGTTTCCGCTCCCAGGAAAACAGGAAGGAATTTTTATCTTCGGTTTTACATAATTCTTTACTCTTACCCCCCTTCTCTTTTCTCCTTGTGTGAAAAGTAGAGTGCTTGAGCAGAGGTAATGTAAATGCTTAGTAGCAGCAGGCGCTAATCTATCTTGTAAATGCATAAGCAAGCATCGATTTTAGTATGTCTTGGAAAATTTCCGATATGATTGCAAATGCAAATGGCAAATCTGGGCTAAGTGGTGATGTCTCTGACGTTTGTAGTAGACCTGCAGCTCAGATATGCATAAATCTGAAGCAAACGTCTCGAGGGGTTAACACTGGAAGTAGGAAGTCCCGACTGATTGGCTTAACCAGACGAGAGCAAAATGGGGGTGGACCCGTAGATGTGTGAAAGTATAAAACAAGGTGTCTGCTAAACCAGACTCTAGACATTAGCTTCAACTTAAATTGCTCATAAGGTTAGAGTACTAAACAACAACACGCGCGATACACCGATCATAAGTTCAGTCACGGCCGTGAGCAGAATTTGAGTCCACACGGCTGTGAGCAGGATTCGAGTCCAAATTCCGGCTAATATGACAGCTGACACAGAAGTTCTTCCACGGTTTAAAAACTAAGTCTCGCAGCTGACACAGAAGTTCTGGCTAATATGACGCAGCTGATAGAGATTTCATCACAGATAATGCTCGGAACATGGCTTCTTGAACTGGGAATACATCGTTTAACAAAAGGAATTGGAGTTATTTACACGATAGAATCCCGATCAACACTTGTTTGGAATCAAGAACCAACTGACTTCCAAGCAATTTTTATTACTATTGCAAAGGGAATGATCAAAGAAGAAACAGAAAAATCAAGAATTTAGTTAGTGCTACCAACAACCAAAATGGGCTGCTGCTTTAGATCCTGTCTACACAAAGCTGAGTTGCAACAGATAGCTGCTTTCAGCAAAATCATGGAGGCTCCGATGAGACCGGCCTCCTTCATTGTCAGTGCTGCCTGTTCCTTTATTCACTATTTTCTGCAGGCGCTAGAATCCTGCAGACAAATAAAGCACTCAACCACATGTAAAATTTGACAATAATTTGGCATCAAATGTCATGAACATGTCATGCACACAAACCTGCAGAAGCTTAAGCATTTGCTCTTCAACAGTACCACGCATAGCCAAAGTTTCCACATGTATTGGACGCGTAGCCCCCATTCGATGTGCCCGACTAATAACCTGTTCCTCCATACTGATCAGAACAAAGAAAGTGCAAGCGTCAGTTACAGATGATACATGATAATGACAGTGATAGCAAATATCCTTTTCAGAAGTATGACAAAATGACAAGGGCACAGCATTGGCCAATAAATTCACACTTCACATTATATTTACCCTATGGAACCATAATGATTGGTAAATACAATGGAACTAATGCAGCTGCATTTTAGTTATATTTACCTCCTATCCCATATTGGTTCCATGAGAAAACATGAGTCACAAAACTCAAATCAAGCCCCAGTGCAGCAGTTCCATCCATGACTAAAGCCATACACGTTGGGTCCTCCTGGAACTTCATTAGTGCACTTCTCTGCAAAGAATTGCAGCAACATCGAGATAAACCTTAAAATATGTTTCAGATATTTGCCAAGGAGAGTTTACTTGTATTTTTGCCAATTAGGAAGGTAGTTTTGTACTCCATTCCAAATTATAAGGCATTTTGGCTTTTCTTGAACATTGCTTTTAGACAGTGTATATCTAAGTGCATAACAAAAGCTACGTATCTAGAAAAGCCAAAACGTCTTATAATTTGGAATGGACGGAGTAACATGTGAAGGAGTAGTGGGAACTAGGAGGCAATTGAGATACTAGAGTGGTAGAGATCAGAAATTTAGAGATCAGCAATTGAGATACCTTACTAGCTAGAGGCATCGGACTATACATTCCCACATATATTATTCCAGCAATAGTCAGCTGAGCAGAAAGGAGATCAATCGTCAACTAATTTCATATAATTATAAAGAAAGATCAAGAGTATAAGCATTTCAAACTAACCTGCTGTTCAATCACGTGAATATGCTCTAGAAACTGAGAAAAAATTATAACTTTGTCAAACATTGCCTGTGGTTGATAAGATGGTGTATTAGCATGACCAACACTATTGGTTATGTTATTCCCAGTTTCTCGCAGACTTCTTAGCTTCTCAATCAAATAAGCAACTTTGCTGCTAGATGTTGATTGCCAATCGGGATCCCAATCATCCTAAAAATTACAAAAGTACAGAAACTTATTTTCAAGAGCACACAAAGTGGATAAAAATGGACAATATAGCACAAGCACGGACCTGCTTATATGAAGGCTGCAACTCGATTAGATCCTTAGGCACTGGCCACTTTGGGTTTGGATTTTCTGGCCTTGCACGAGTCTCAGGAGACTGCATCTCATAATGATTACCACAACCAGGTAATGTGCATTTTTCACTATCAAGAGCTACACAGTCAAGGCACAAAAGATGTCGACAGGGTGTGATAACAGGCAAGCGACACCAAACTCTACACCTGAAAGCAATATGAATATTTGAATAATGGAAATACTGTGATTGATACATATATGATCTTATTACAAAAGCTCCTGTACCTGACACAACTGGCACCGTTTAAAAGAGAATATCTTATCAACTGATATTCATCTGAAGAAGGATCAAGGCCATGCTGCACCAATTCATCCATTGTTTCCTGTATATCCTGACCTGCCTCGGCTACTTTGATGTGCCCGGCAACACAGCAAGATAAACGGACATTCTTCAAAGTAGTAGCACGGAATTTCCACTGCTTGGGGTTAAGAAGGGATTCTACATGAGAAGGGTCATTCCAATCAGCCATCAGTATATTTCGGCGTATAGTAACTACCAGTTCATTGTAACTTTTTGCATGCCCCTCATTGAAGTCTAGGTAGGTTATCTTCTTTATGCAAGGAGGAATATTTTTCAGGTCTGCTTTTCTTGCACTAATCATAGTCCTCTGAAGCAGCTGCACAAGACGAACACGTCCCTCTTCCATTTGTGCCTCAAAAGGCCTATGGATCCCTGAGTCCCATGACTGGTAGTTCTCACCATAAGTTTCATCATGAAGAAACTTAAGCATGGGGTGAAGATGAGCAACCTGACTAGTTGGTGTATTTGGTGTAGGTGTACCAGTTAATATCCACCTATTTGATGCAACCAAAGCGACAGCCATCTGTAACTTGTTTGTCAGGGCAAGGCTGGAACCTAGTGTGTGCCCTTCATCCAGTATAACCCTGAACCAATGGATCTGCTTTAGTGGGCTTCTCTTCTTTGGACCCCATTCTGCACTTAGTCTGCTGAATGTGGTTATGACAATGTCATAGTCCCAAGCAAGGTTGTGAGCAGATGGCTTTTGTGGTCTCCCACACAAAAACATTAAGGGTATCCAATGACACATGACGTTGTATCTGTGTTGTCCAGTGATCAATTAAGTTAGCAGGCACCACTATCAATGTGGCTGTAGATAAATAAAATCTAGTTGAATCCAGAGGTTTTTCAAGAGCAGCTCCAAGTGCCGCCGAATCAAAAGATAAATCATCAAGCATAGAGGGATAGTACCAGCGAGTCACACCTTTCTCAATCTTTCTCACAAGGCCAAATGCTTGGAATATCTTGTAATATGGACGAGCACCCTTGCCAGTAGTTGCACGTGTATCTAGAACTGGTCGAGTCAAACCAACAAATTCCATCTCAAGAAGTTTTGTGGGAGAAAGTTTTGCTAACCATAACAAAGCCTTCTTGGTTTCTGAATTGATCATAGTAACATTATCTTTCAATATGTTTGTGAAAAATGTCACGTTTTCTTCATTTCCAGGCAAAGAATTTTTCTTGTAAAATCCTGGCAAATAGGTTATCTTTCTCTTAAAATCCCAGGATTCCTCCGGGGCAGTGCATTTCTGTCGTGTAGGATCAGTGTTCATAGTGCAAAACCACACTGTGGTAGAATCAAGACTTGTTCCATCGGATAACCTTCGCCACTTTCTGCAAGCATCACACTGAACCCAGGTCTCACTTAGCTCAGAGCTGGTGCCAATCTTCCTTTTATTGCCAACTGAAACGTCGCTGTATGCATCCATGAGGTTTTTCCTAACTTGTCTCGTGTTTTTAGTGAACTTCAGTGTATGCGTGGCTGGCATTGAATGCACTTTGCTGTGTGATGACGATGGGGAATTATCGATCGCAGCATGCAACATTACCTTAGTTGGATCAGGGCTCAGTAACCTACCTCTCTTTCTTGAAGATCTGGTACTGCAGACAGAATCATCTGGACTTTGATAATCTGTTATCACATCCTCCCCCAAAAGCTTTTTTGACACAGACGAAGGGCTGTTTCTATTAGAAGAGCAGCTGGCACTTAATTCATAGTAACCACATTTTTTATCTGGCTTATGCATGCACCAACTCACATCCACCCCTTGTGGAGGGTACGCCATTGTTCCTTGGGTTTTCAGAATCAGAGAGAGTGTGGTTACTGTCTTCCCTAACCCAGGTTCATCACAAAACATACCTCCACAGAAATCATTTATGGTTGGAGCATCACCGGTAGATATTTCAGCAGAGATAACATTTATGTAGAATGGGAAACCATCCTCAGTGCAGAATTCCTTGTACAAAGGATGTGCTAGGACATGCACGTTCTGCTCTCTCTTCAACATCCATTCGACAGCAGCCTCTTGATGGGGGAAGAGCTTAAGCTTCATGCAAGGCATAACAGAGGCAGCAAGAGTCCTAAGATGATGACAGGTTGCTGCCACTCTTATCAAATCTCTGGGTTTAAGTAGAATTAGTACTTTATGCAATACATCGTCAGGGACAGACCAAATACCCAGTTCCAGTGCTCCTGCATCTGGTATTATTCTTGCTACCTGCATGTTCTTCTCCATCCTAACACCAGGGAGCGTCTTGAAGATTTCATGCAGGTCAAATGACTTCTCTTTATTTGATATTGATGCTATCTTATGGTCCTCGCAACCAAGCACGTGACAATCGGTGCAGCTCCAAATGGATCGGTCATCACAGTGTGTATTGTCATGAGAAGTCCAGTCAAAATCAAGCAAACGTTTCCTAGCATCCCAGTTGCAACTGCCAGTCAAAAAAAGGGGGTTAAACTCAGAGGAAGGTTGACAACAACACAGGAAATATTACTGACATAATGAATAGTTGTCGCATTGCCCAACTCTCAGGATTGACATATCTTAGGTCTCTGAAACTACATTTTTGGAAATAACGAATTAAAAAATTAACAAACTCTATAATTGCAGTTTTGCTCAAATTCACATAATATGCATGGCCGGATGGAAAATTTGAATAGGGACTTCATATGGAAAAAATAGCCATATCTATTTGTGGTAGAGGTACTGGCATTAACAAATCAGGTAGTGGAAACACCACAACATGTGGAACCTATTACAATTTACAAGGTCTCATCACATAGTCAGAAGGGAAGCAACTAATAGCCATTTACAAGATCTCAAGAATCAGGGGACAGGAAGTACCATTAAAAAAATTATAATGCTTGGGAATAACTTACTAATATCCCATGTACTCCCTCCCTTTTTTTTTGGTTTGATGCCGGTTAGTTGAAATTTGGAAATTGAATGGAGGTAGTAGCACGGATATGTGTATCGGTATTAGATGGATACAGATACACCAATGTTCCAAAAAAAAAACTCTAATATGCTGATACATTTTAATATATCATTGAAAATAAATAATGTATGGCACAGACATATGTAAAAGAGAGTATATCCACAATAGGGAATACGAGGAAAGTACGAGCACTAATAGGCCACAATACTACTAGCAGCCAGCCCACTAATTCAGTAGAGCCCAATCAACTCAATAGCCCGTAAAGCAACCCCCTCCCCTCTCTCCTCAACCCCTAATCTACCGTCCTCACTAGATGCCTCCTCCTCCTTCCCAACTCCACTGAGACGGAGCAGCGAATTGGGCACCGGTGCCACCCCTTCCATATAGAGGTCTACTTGTATGTGGATCGAGAGTTCGGTGCTGCCCCTTCTAGATCAAGCTATACAGTTGAGCGGTGAAGAAAGCTGTGATGCCACAGGTGCCACCAGAGCTGACGGGGATGGGAGCAAGGGTAGTGAGGCCTCATGCGTTCTCCTCCTGCTCTTCCTCTCTCCCTCCTTCCCTCCATGATAGTGAATTTCCTTGGGTGCGTGGATAAGTATGGTCACGTATGGAATTATCTCATATTTATTTCCCTGCCAATAATCGGCGGATACATATCCAGCGAAACGTGTCCGATACGGGATAACCAGATAAGAGGTCACCCCCACGTACACGTGTAGCATAGCCAATGTCCCAGAATATTTTTGCCCAGGCATATGCCACAGAAACTGCTTATCTTTTCTTTTCCTGACCTGTGATGGCTCGTGTTGGGTTTCACCTCAGCCTACCCCAACTTGCTTGGGACTAAAAGGTTTTGTTGTTTTTGTTGTTGGAATAGACCAGAAAGTGACCATAGCAGTCCAAACTCCAAATAGTAAAAAGAATAATAATAACCAGCATCGTTCCTGAAACAGGGTATTATATCAAAAGCCTTCCTTTGCAAGGTTTCAGGCATATCATGAATGCTTGAAACGGTTGAAAGGACAGATACATTATGATTTGAAGTTTTTCCCCTCTGAATATTCCATCTGATTATACACACAATAAACAATAAGTCCTACATACTAGCTGGCCTAATCCATTGAGAACCCATGCCCTCCTGGCCTCATCTCAATTGCTAACGTCCCCCAGTCTCACCAGCCGATGGCCCTTGCATCCCTAACTTCTGCTGTTGCCTTCGCTGAGGACAGGGACATGCAGGATCTTCACCATGTCATCTAGTGAGGAAGATGCCTGTATTCTAGGAACGTCGACCACTAGTTAGTAGTATTCAATTGTCACCTCATGTATAAGCTCATGCTTTTATCATGTTTGTTCATATTCAGAGCCTCAGAGGTGAGCATTTAATGGTGCAATTTTATTTATTCAGATTTCCTAGGACCAGCTCTCCAGATTTCAACTGTTAGTTGTTTTGAAAAGCTTTGAAAACACATATGCCAGCAACTCTAGATCAGTAAATCCTTTGCAACCGACAGGCACTTGGTTAGTAGTAATTACGTTATACAGAAAGTCCCAGAAAGGAACATATATAATACAATCGAGAAGGACCCAGAATTAAATTTAAGAGACATGTAACCTTGATAAGCCCCGTAAATAAAAATGATATAAACATCAGTAGCCCCTACGCAGTCAGAACTCCAAAATTTGGGTGCACAATGCAGGGCACATGACGCCCCGCCCTCAGATAGACACAGACGGAGGAGACGCACCTGACATGCTTGAAGACGGCGGCGGCAGCGGAGCGCGAGCGCGGGAACTGCCACCCGGACCACGCGGCGACGGGCAAGTAGACGTCGATCAGCAGGACGGCCCTGGCCTCCACCTCGGCGCCGTCCCCTTTCCCTTCCCCGGCCCTCCTGGTCACGACCCGCAGCAGCGTGCCCTCCACCTCCACGCAGCGGTTCGCCACGAGCGTCCTGAGCAGGCGCACGACGCCGGGCGCGCGCCACCTGGGCCGCCGCGGCTGGGTCCCCACGTCGTCGGGGAGCGGCGCTAGGGCCACGGCCCCGCACGCGGAGAGAGTGCACGGGGACAGCGGCGGGATCGACGCCGCCGCCGCGACGTCCCCGCCGGGGATGGACACCACGGCACGTAGGTAGCCGCTGAGCTTTCGGCGCTCCGCCGCCGCGGTCATTGTGAGGTGAGGATAAGGTAGGGTTAGGTATCTTGCACCACCATGGAGCGAGGTGGGTGCTGGCCGTGGCCTCGATGCCCGCTGGAATGCGGTGGCGGGCTCGGCTTCCGGGCGGTGGGGACTGGAGCGGAGATTACGACGAGGAGGAGAGGGGAGGCGAGGCGGCGACGAGGAGGAAGGGAACGGGCGGGGTCAAGCCTCAAGCGTAACGGGCGGGATGTGTGGGGTCGGCTGGAGTCCGCGGTTAACGGATCGGATCTGACCTGGGTGGGGATCCGAACTTTGGGCTTCGATCGAATCGAATCCTTTTTTATTTTGGGGCGGCAGCTAACTGTGGGCCGTTTTCGAATTACGTGGGCCACGCACGACGGTTTACGGCACACGGGTACGGAACGAGTTCCATTCCACGGACGTCTGCAGTTTTTTTTTAATCCCACGGACGTCTGCAGTTGGCACGTCTCAAATTTCACACGGTGTCATCAAGGGCAAAATTACCGGATTGATCATCGATCACGGATGAGTTAATTGGATAAGAAATGCAAGGATCTGCAGTAGACAATGTCCATATACTCCCATTAGTCACTGACACATTTGTTTTTTGCAAGGACTCTACTCACTAACAAATAATGTTAAGAGTGTTCTTGACGCCATATATTAGTGACAGGAAGGCATATCTTGGTACCGTCACCGACACACATATTATGGAAAATCATGCGAACTAGGTAGTAATATTGATCTAGAAGAATCTCAACGTACACTTGAAATAGCCATGAGGCTAATTTGAGTAGAGCCTAGGGTACACAAGAATTGGTTGGAATGAACTATTTTTTCGGCTCCGTGGTGTTGAGCCAAGGACGCGGATTTGATTTACGTGTCTAAGGGTAAGTAACCTATACTACAGACGCATTTCAGACTTTTAGTGACACATCTGTGTCCGTGATTTATGTCTTTTAAAGACCTATTTTCTAGGAGCCAACATATCAGAGACGTGTTTTGGCTACACGTGTCCATGATCACATATCACAGATGCGCCTCGATTTTGATTTCGCATCACTAAGAGCCGGTGTCTGCTATTTGTTTTTTTTTACATAGTGGAAGCTAGCTCGACGAGAGAAGATATGATACAAGTCGAGGTTGTGAATTGCAACCCCACATCCAATTGAAGACAAGTCAAAGATTTTGTTGATTTACAAATAGAAGGGAGTTACATCACATTATATGATGGAGTACCAAAGCTGTCCAAGCACACCGTACACCAAATAAAGGGAAAGCAAACCAGATAAAAAAGCGTCATCAGATTTAGCACGTCGGGTAAGGTAACCACACGTACGTGTCCTTGCAACAATGTAATCATCATCACTCGTTGCAATGATTACTAATTGGAGCCATGCATGTATGTACTAGCACTGTACGTGTGCCCTACTTGGGCGGGGAGAAGTTGGACTTGATGCCGTCCACGACCCCGGCGTCAGTCTGAAACGCCCGCGCCAGCACGTCGGTGGGCAGCGGTGGCGCGGCGCCGAACAGCGCGGCGGCCGCCGCCTGCGTGCCGGGCATCTGGCTGTCGAACGCGGAGATCGCCACGGCGGGCGCAGCGCCGACGCTGCGCTGGAAGTGCAGGAGGCCGCGCGGGAAGACAAACACCTCACCCTTGTTCACGGTGCGGGTGAAGAGCCGCCCGCCGCCCCCCGCGCCCACGGCGGTGGCCACGAAGCCCACCTCCAGGGTGCCCTCAGCGACGAAGAGGATCTCCGTGGCGCGCGGGTGCGCGTGCGGTGCGGACACGCCGCCCCACGGCGCGTAGTCGGTGCGCGCCATCGATACGCGCAGCGTGTTGAGCCCGGGGACCGCCGACACGTCCGCCGCCGTCACCGCCGACCCCGTCGGGTTGCCCGTGTACACGTCCGCCGCCGTTGCTAGACCGCCGAAGAAGAAGTCGTCCGCCGTCACGTTCGCCTCCGGCTTGCACGGAAACCCGTTCACACGCAGCGCTGTATGTACATATATGCGAGACAGCGAGAAATCAGATGATCAATAAAGGAAAATTCTAGCAATGCATGTGCATGGGGTGGTCACTTACGCCCCTTGAGGGATTTGTAGTCGGCGACGCAGATGTCCTGGAGCATGTCGGGGTCGCCGGCGAGCACTGCAGGGGCGGCGATCACGAGGAGGCCGACGACGGCGAAGCAGGCGCCGAGGAGAAGGGCGGGGAGCTTGAGCTTCTTCATCAGAGCCATGTTTCTCGTGACGATGCTTTTTGTAGCTAGCTGAAGCTGGCACAGTTAGCTGTGTATACTACACGTGAGTTAGTGTGAGCTGCAGTAGCTGGAGTAGGTTGTTAAGGGCGTAAGGAAACTTTAGGGTTTTGTTTTGATGGAAAAGAAGGGGTAGACAGCTGCTATTTATGTATGCAACAGGCAGAGCGAGTTGGATTACAGCTTAATGAACAGTACGTACGTGACCACTTAATGGATCGAATGGAGTGCGCGCGACGACGACGACGGGTCCGTATATACGTACTCCTACGTACGTACAGTCGTACACAGCTGGGCGCTAGGTGTGATGCATGTGAGAGTCGAGATATATTACTTGTCACGTCAAGTTTCGATGAGAATGCAATCGTACGACGTACGTACGTGTGTGATCGTCCCGGCCGGTCGTTTTTATGCAAATTTAATTTTGATTGACACGTATATGCGTGGATCCCCGGCTTAATCCCCGGTCATAATTAATAACTCGAAGTTTTTGTATAACAGTAACTTGCACGTTACTATATACTAGCAAATATACACGTGCGACACACACGTGTTTCTAAAAGCTATTTTAAATGCAATGGAAATTTTAATTAGATTATCAGTGTACAATAAAGATAGATGGCGAGTGCTCGTTCGATTTTATTTATTCAGATTTCCTAGGACCAGCTCTCCAGATTTCAACTGTTAGTTGTTTTGAAAAGCTTTGAAAACACATATGCCCGCAACTCTAGATCAGTAAATCCTTTGCAACCGACAGGCACTTGGCTAGTAGTAATTACGTTATACAGAAAGTCCCAGAAAGGAACATATATAATACAATCGAGAAGGACCCAGAATTAAATTTAAGAGACATGTAACCTTGATAAGCCCCGTAAATAAAAATGATATAAACATCAGTAGCCCCTACGCAGTCAGAACTCCAAAATTTGGGTGCACAATGCAGGGCACATGACGCCCCGCCCTCAGATAGACAGACGGAGGAGACGCACCTGACATGCTTGAAGACGGCGGCGGCAGCGGAGCGCGAGCGCGGGAACTGCCACCCGGACCACGCGGCGACGGGCAGGTAGACGTCGATCAGCAGGACGGCCCTGGCCTCCACCTCGGCGCCGTCCCCTTTCCCTTCCCCGGCCCTCCTGGTCACGACCCGCAGCAGCGTGCCCTCCACCTCCACGCAGCGGTTCGCCACGAGCGTCCTGAGCAGGCGCACGACGCCGGGCGCGCGCCACCTGGGCCGCCGCGGCTGGGTCCCCACGTCGTCGGGGAGCGGCGCTAGGGCCACGGCCCCGCACGCGGATAGAGTGCACGGGGACAGCGGCGGGATCGACGCCGCCGCCGCGACGTCCCCGCCGGGGACGGACACCACGGCGCGTAGGTAGCCGCTGAGCTTTCGGCGCTCCGCCGCCGCGGTCATTGTGAGGTGAGGATAAGGTAGGGTTAGGTATCTTGCACCACCATGGAGCGAGGTGGGTGCTGGCCGTGGCCTCGATGCCCGCTGGAATGCGGTGGCGGGCTCGGCTTCCGGGCGGTGGGGACTGGAGCGGAGATTACGACGAGGAGGAGAGGGGAGGGGAGGCGAGGCGGCGACGAGGAGGAAGGGAACGGGCGGGGTCAAGCCTCAAGCGTAACGGGCGAGATGTGCGGGGTCGGCTGGACTGCTGGAGTCCGGGGTTAACGGATCGGATCTGACCTGGGTGGGGATCGGAACTTTGGGCTTCGATCGAATCGAATCCTTTTTTATTTTGGGCCGGCAGCTAACTGTGGGCCGTTTTCGAATTACGTGGGCCACGAACGACGGTTTACGGCACACGGGTACGGAACGAGTTCCATTCCACGGACGTCTGCAGTTTTTTTAATCCCACGGACGTCTGCAGTTGGCACGTCTCAAATTTCACACGGTGTCATCAAGGGCAAAATTACCAGATTGATCATCGATCACGGATGAGTTAATTGGATAAGAAATGCAAGGATCTACAGTATACAATGTCCATATACTCCCATTAGTCACTGACACATTTGTTTTTTGCAAGGACTCTACTCGCTAACAAATAATGGGCCTGTTCGCTGGCTGGTGCGGGTGCTGGTTTGGACTGGCTGGTGCTGGTTATTTTGAGAGAAAAATACTGTTGGCTGGCTACTTTGGGCTGGCTGAAACCAACAAGTGAACAGGCTGAATGTTAAGAGTGTTCTTGACGCCATATATTAGTGACAGGAAGGCATATCTTGGTACCGTCACCGACACATATTATGGAAAATCATGTGAACTAGGTAGTAATATTGATCTAGAAGAATCTCAACGTAGACTTGAAATAGCCATGAGGCTAATAATTTGATTAGAGCCTAGGGTACACAAGAATTGGTTGGAGTGAACTATTTTTTCGGGTCCGTGGTGTTGAGCCAAGGACGCGGATTTGGTTTACACATGTAAGGGTAAGTAACCTATACTATAGACGCATTTCAGACTTTTAGCGACACATCATAGACGTGTTTTCTTAATCCGCGTCCGTGATATATGTCTTTCAAAGACCTATTTTCTAGGAGCCAACATATCAGAGACGTGTTTTTGGCTACATGTGTCTATGATCACACATCACAGATGCGCCTCGATTTTTATTTCGCATCACTAAGAGCCGGTGTCTGCTATTTGTTTTTTTTTACATAGTGGAAGCTAGCTCGACGAGAGAAGATATGATACAAGTCGAGGTTGTGAATTGCAACCCCACATCCAATTGAAGACAAGTCAAA